GAGAGAGAGAGAGAGAGGGGGGGGGCAACTCCCTGGCACAGCCCTGGCGAAAGAAAGAGAGAGCGCGCAAAGCAGAGTATTGGGAGGTGCCTCCTCTTGACGAGCAGCTTATGCCGGGCTGCGTTGAGTCAGGCCCAAATAGTTATCGCCTCGACGGCCGGGGTCGGCTCCAGTGGAGTTGCGCAGCACGCTGTTGAGTTGCCGCCTTGCGCGAGGCCACTTGAGCGCTGAGCCTGACCTGAGGCCGGAAGTGTTAAGCTGCGACTAGTACACTGAGTACACGATGTCAGATATTTTGACATGCAGGCATTGCTGCAGCCCAAGGACATTGCAGGAGCCTGCCGATGACGATGAGACGGCGTGGCTCGTTTCGTCGTGCTCCACTTGAGTTCAGAGTTTGCTAGGAGCAGAACGCCTCACTGAAGACTCAGCTGGCAGAGGCATGGGGTCGGACTGCAGCAGCATTCTCTTGGGTCATGCCATCTTGCAATGGTTGCTGAAAACAGAGCTTGCAACCTGTTTCAGGCTCAACGGCGCATCGAAGAGCTCGAAGAGGAAAGGGCAGGCAGCGACGCTGAGCCGCAGATCTTATCGCCTTTTCTTGCTGCTGCAGGCAAAACTTTTTCCACGAAGGCGTTTACGACCTAGTTAATGCAGTCTGCAAGGGGCCTACAGCAGAGCCAGCTGTTGCGACTGAACAGTTGGATAAGCCGTATGCAAAGCAGACGAGCCAGTGCCATGATGCAACTACATCCGAATAATTCCACGTCTACAGAATAGGGTGATGGATCAGGTCGAGTGCTTCCATCATTTCTCGCGACGTGATGACGAGCCCTGGGTCTGCGGGGGGATGTAGACAAAGGAATAAGGAGCGAAGGAATTGGTAAGAGCGGAACCCGGAACCCCCTGGTACGGAGTAGATTTATGCCGTTGCTGCTGCAACTACATCGGTCGGGTTAGCATGGGGAAGGGGCTCACTGACGAGCATCCACGTGCCCAGAACTACCCTCCCAACAATGGAGTTCATAATTGCCCGGGGGGAAGAATGGAAAGAACGAAAAAGATTGGCCAAGTGACCAAGCGCGCGTGTGCACGGAGGGTAAGGACGTATTGCCTGTGGCCTCGAAGCTGCGAGAGACAACTTTTCCGAGAATTGGACCAGGTAGAGATAGGAGCAAAATCAGAGCTGTCCATTGCGGGCCGAGGCACCAGTCCTCAGTGTCGGAGCTTCCAAGACGGGAGCGCGTTCCGAAGCTTCGAGGAGCGGCTCCTGGCTGTCTGTACGAACCTCCATGGACGGGGTGACGGGATCAGTGCTCTGCCTCAAAGCAGGAGCCAGGTGCTAACAACGCAAACGTCCACCACGCAAGCCCAGAGCCAAGTCAAAGTGTGCGAGAGGATGCTACCGTTGAGCTGCCATTCACCCAGGTCCAGACGCCACTCAACTGGTTGTGCGCGTCCCGGTGCAAAGACGAAGGATCGGAAACCACCAAATCTGTTTGAGACAGGTGGATGTTCTGCTTCAGCTTGTGTCCCAGGACCGGACGAAAGCTCACGATTTGATACGAGCTGAGTCATACCGGTTGCTCCCTCATGGAAGGAGCACCAGCAACTGAAGCGTGATCAGCGCAGCGGCTGCGTGGATCATGACCAGGTGCAGCAGGTGCGGATGAAGTGCAAGTGGGACATGACTGACCAGATGTTGGCCAAGAAGTCGGCACGTATTGGTTGTATCATCTTTGGCAGGTGGTGCTTGGCCATGCGACCGGCACTCGACCGAAAATGCGCGAACTTCTGGTTGCCTTGCATGTCTTTGCATGCCCGTTATCTTTCTTCAGGTCGGTCTTGTTGAAGAAAAACACAGAGCATTGCATTGTGTACAAGTCGCATGCATGCCCGCAGCATGGCAAAAAGCTGCCAAGACAAGCAGCGTCAACCTTGCATGTGCAATGAGACTGCAATGAACAAAGGGTCTTGGATAGAGACTCGCAACTCAGATCGGTGATGGCCTTCCCCCGCCGCTGGGTCCCAAAAACACACAAAAAAAGTATTGACACTCTTCTTCTGGCAACAGAAGGTCCCGGAGATACGCGTTTGCCATGCTGGCACAGGAGTTATAGGCCAAGGAAGAAAGCTCCTTCGCAAATCGTGTAGACCATGTGTGGCCATGGGAAACTGTTCCTGCGTCTGCAACGACAACTCAGCCCATGGCGTCGTGGAGCATAGTTCCTTGGCATGCCAAAATAAAATCAAAGACATACAGCCACGATGTATACCACCTACTTGTCTAACCTGAAGCGCTGGTACACGGGTGACAGACACAGGGTTCGGCAAACGCACCTGCTTGTGGCTTCTCGAAGAATCTGAGGCACCGTGCCTGAAGGCAAAACTGTTGTCAAGGCACAGCCCACCCTCGGAGCAGAAAGCTTGGCGGAAGACACTCGGCAAAGAAATCACAGGTAGCTGTGCCAAGCAGGTCGCCCCGAAAATGCAGAAGTGTCGGCAGTGGTTTTAGGCTTTTGTGAGCCTGAGCCCAGACAGGCAGTAGCAATAACTAGCCTATTACTATTGACGTTGGGTTTCTTACTAGACTCTTCTTACTCTTGGAGATTGACAGTGCTGGTCTTGTTACAGCTTCCATCACTTCCATTCGAAAGGCTCCTCACTTCCCTCAGTCAATAATCCGGCCAGTCTACAGAAACTACAGGAAAGATTTAGGTGACCTGCTGCACCGCAGCAAAGAGTTCGGGAAGGGTTGATGTCAAGCTGCGACAGTGCAGAAGCCTATGACACCCCAAGCTGCAGCCTGCGTGCACAAAGGAGGTACAAAGGAGGTCCCGCCTCTCGTTGTGAATGTGCTCTCAGAACCTCACCTGTGCCTTGCGGCTCAAGTCAGCGAGCGAGAGAGAGAGAGAGAGAGAGAGATAGCAAGCAATCAAGCAAGCAATCAAGCAAGCAAGCAAGCAAGATAGAGAGCGCGAGTCCGTGTGTGTTTGTGTGTCCCCAGCAAGCAAGCATGCAAGCAAGCAAGCAAGACTGTCTCCATTGGCACCCACGATATGCACCCACGATGAGTGGGGCGCACTCACATGTAGAGAGAGGTCGAACCCCTTCCCCCAGCCCTTGCGAAAGAGAGCGCGAGAGAGAGCGAGCGAAGAAGATGGAGGTGGAGGACGGGCGCCACTTCCGCAATGACTTGGATGACTCCTCGAGGCCCGTAGATTGGGAGGTCAAGCTGCGCAGGACCCTGGCGACGCTCACGGCATCTCTTTCCCGGGCCAAGCATCGCAAGGAGAGGTTGGGCGAAGAAACTCCTGAGGGCCCAACCCCAATCTGTACTTGTAGGAATATTCGCATGTCTAGATCCAGCTGACCAGTAGGTACAACACAAGCTTTCAACGAACACAAGCAATCTTGACAGCAAACAGCTGAGGGGAGTGTCTACACGGGTGCCGGCGGAGTGGCGTACACGCTACTGCACCTCGCAGCCTGTGGCCTCCATGATCCATCCTCTTCCTGCGTGGACAGCGCCCGCATCCTGGCAGAGGCAGAAAGATCGTCCGATGCGCGGCGCGTCACTCTCTTGGAAGGTCTGGCAGGCTGCGTTGCTTTGCAGGCCTGGACGCACCAACTCTGCCAAGAGCAGGAGAAGGAGCGGAAGTTTGTAAACAGAACCACAAGTTAAGCCTTTTGAATGTTTATTTGTAACACCCTGATTGTGAGAAGGTGCAGGAGTGTGTCCGAAGGGTGGAGAGGCTGGCGGAGCTTGCCTGTGCTTTGCCGGAAGGAGAGTGTGAGGTGCTCTACGGCCGCTGCGGCTTTCTGGGTGTTGTGCTTTTCCTACGGAAACATCTCAAAGACCCGCAACTGCTAGCCGAGCCAGCGACAGAGATTGTGAGGCACGGCATTTAGCTTTCAAAGCCCACGTGTGTATGCAGGCGCTGACAGGGCTGCAAGCTTTCGTCGGACTGTTCCAAAGTACACCAAGCGAATGCCACACTGTAGCAAGTGTGTGTCTGTGCGTGTGTGTAGGTAGATAGAGATAACGACAGGGATGGGGATAGAGATAGAGACGGAATATAGATGTAGATATACGTATGCACACATGCATACATGTACATACATACGTGCATATCTAGAGACCGGCAACGCAAGCACTCATTGATGACTTGCGTTTTTCCAGGCAAGTGGTTGAATCGGGACGGCGCCATTCGCAGGAAGGCTGGCCACTCTACTATGAGTGGCATGACAAGTGTTACCTGGGAGGTGCTCATGGCATTGCAGGCATTCTCCACACGTTGGTACAGCTGCCAGAAGAGCTTGCAGCAGCGGGGTCCGATGTTGCAAACCTCATCTGCCAGAGTGCTGACAAATTGTTGGATGGGCGGTTCGTGAGTGGGAACTTGCCGTCGTCTCTGGGGAGTGACAGGGATCGCTTGGTTCAGTTCTGCCATGGCGCAACTGGCGCAGTGCCCCTCATGCTGCGGTTAGCCAGCGTCTACAAACAGCCACGATATTTGCAGCAGGCCCAGGAGTTGGGCCACGTGATTTGGAGGAGGGGGCTTCTGAACACAAAGGGGCTTGGACTCTGTCATGGTACACCTGGAAATGGTTTCGCATTTCTGGCCCTCTACAGGCAGACGCGGGACGAAGTGTGGCTGAATCGAGCGCTGCACTTCGCCGTATTTGCTTGCGAGCATCAAGACGACTTGTCTCAGCTGGCAGATCGACCATACTCGCTTTTCGAGGGCCTTGCCGGTGCTGCCTGTTTTTGGGGCTCTGTGATTTGTGCGGCCCGTGGAGATACACGCATGGCAGGATTCCCTTGCTATGACTTTGATTGAGAGATGTGTGTGGTCCGACACCCCGGCCGCAGACCTCTGCCCAAAGAGGCTCAGCAGTTCCTGCGAAAAGCAAAAATTGGGTTGCCGCCGGAGCAAGGCAGTCTTACCAGCTGTAACTGTATTGTCCTGCTAAGGATGGCTCTACAGTCATTCTGGAGGGTGGCTTCCGATTTACTGGCATGTGGGTCGATGATCAGAAGCAAGGCTACGGCATCCTCGAGCAACCCGTGGCGTGGCAGATGGCAGTTTCGAGTGCTTGGTTGTGGTTTAAGTCTGACAACGGGTGCCAGACAGAAATGAGCCGAGTGCCCGCCTAAATGTGAGCCTCTGGAAGCCAGCGTTGAAGCACGGTTTGGGCATCGAGCTGTGCATTGTAAGCTTCTTCGGCCTTCTTGTCACACTCGAAGCAAGGATGGAAGCCGCTTCGAGGGCAATTTCGTCGATGACAAGCCCAATGGCGAGGGTCGGTTGGCATACATATCGGGCGATGTCTACGAGGGGCAATGGGTCAATGAGCGAGCAGAAGGCTTCGGCATCTTCACTCGCAGAGATGGGAGTTCCTACGAGGGCCAGTGGCTCAATGACCTCCAACACGGCTATGGAATCGAAACCTGGCCCGACGGCTCCCGAGCCTTGGACAAACTCTTCTCTACATGTCGGGCTTGGGGCTTAGGGGTGCGCTGGTACCAAGAAGTCGGCAAAACTTGGCTCAGTGTCTACAGCACGTTTTAGATGTTTCATGCTGTCTCCAAGGATTTGAGGGCATGTATTGCGCAGGCGCCAAGGATGGGCATGGTAAATTCATCTGGTCTGATGGCGCCATATACAAGGGATCCTTCAGCAACAACTGCTTCCATGGGTCTGGTGACTACAGGCCGTGTCCTGCGATGATCTCAGCGCATCCTTGACTTCGGTGCCTGCCTCCCCTGAGGTGGCAAGACGGTCGCCGATACAAGGGGGGATGGGACAAGAACAAGCTTCATGGCTGGGGCATCATGCCCGGCCCTGAGCAAGTGCTGTCGCGCAGGTCTTCATGGCAGCTTCATTCGAGAATCAGATCCTAGGACCTGGCCGGATGGGCGCTGCTACCAGGGTCATTACATCCGAGATCACAAGCATGGAGAGGGATGCTTTCGCTGGTCCTCAGGGGCACAGTACAGTGGTCAGTGGCTACAAGGTCTGAGGACCTCCTTCCCATCAGAGGGATGAGGGAGCAGAGCACCAGATGTCGTTGTGACGAGTAGGCAAGGCCGTTGTAAAAGCAGATCCTGCCACCCCCAAACCTGCAGGCAAGCAACATGGCGTGGCAAGGTACAAGAACCTTGACGGCAAGGCTCATGGCCTCCTGAGGGCCTTGGGTATATCGCGGCCATTCGTGGCCCATAGCACTAATGGAGGTTTATAGATGCTTACAGTCCGTTGTCGCGCACGAGGGAACGTTGCGCTGCATGACTCGGCCAACATAGAAACATGGTCTCGCATACTACGGTGTATCAGCGTGCGCAGAGCACACGATCGCATCTCTTAGAGCTGACAGCTTGCCGCAGGTGCGACTGGGGCGCTGGGAGGATGGCAGTCATCTGGAATGGGTCGGCAGTCTACGCGGAGACCTCAGCCTGTCGGATCCCGTTAACAGCGTGAACTGAGCTCCCAGATCCAGTGAATGTAGTTCATCGGATGCATGTACGAACGTGCGTAGGTGTGCGCCTGTTTGTGTTTGCCCCTGCCGTTGATACATGTCTGCAAGCACCATTGCAATGGGTCTAGAGTCTGCAGGTATTGGCGGTATTGGTGTATATTGCAAGCATGCATACCCGTGCAGTCTTCGCACATATGAGAGGCAGAAGCACACACATGCATCTAATGGTAGCTGTGTATACTTTGTATACCCTCACCAACACATTTCAATTGGCATAGCCTGTCAGAACAAACACACAGAGCCCGCCGCATGGCTTGTTCTCGGGTCTCTGCTCGAGTTTGCTGCTATTTCCATACTGTTTTTTTTGGTAATTTTTGTGCGTAAGCAAGCTACCCCTATCTTGCAGCATTGCTAAGTGTGGGATTTCGGCACAACTTTGGTTGCAGTCGTTCCTGTGCCTGCAAGGGAAGGCGGAAGACACATTTTCGGTTGGTGTTGACAAAGGTGTTCGTGCTCGAAATGAATGTTTGGCAGGGATGCAAAGCTTGATGTGTTTCTCGACGTTCAGCTGTCACAGAGTCGTTTTCCCCGAGCTCGCGGGCTGCAGACCTATTGTTTGGAACCCATCGAAGGCGACGTTTTCCCTGGCCACGGGTAGCTACGGATGTAATGCAACCATGCCGCGCTTTTGGGTGAAGCAAGAGACTGTGAGATGCTGTGCTTGAGCAGACCCAGCAGTCTAGCAGCTGGCAACCGTCGATGTCTAATATCCCCTGTGTTGATCTGCACAGATCGACGGCCAACTCTACGAGAAACGCAGCATGACAAAAGGTAGACATCGTACCCAGCAACCGGGAGCCCAGTCTGAGGAACCCAGCTCAGAAGTCACAGCTGGGAGTTCAGGGCTGCTCTCGGCAGGGCCAAGGCTGCTCCGACAGAGCTCCAAGCTGACAGTCCCAGGATGTTGTGAGCCTGAGAGGTTACCGTGGGACTTGCATATGCTCTTGTCTGTTGTCATTGGAAAAAGACAAGAAATGTGGCATCATCCCGCGTCCTCCGAGCAGAAGATCGTTATTATCGGGCTCATCGCCGAGCCCTGTGAAGCAAGCACAGAAACGTGGACAGAAAGACATGCGCTGGCAAAAACATGCAAAAGCACGTGTCGGCAATGTAGACACTGCAAACCAATGCGCGAGCAAGCAAATGGAAATGAACGAAAGAAACAATCCTCAAGGAAGGATAAGAAATTCACAATATTCACATAGATAATCTCAGAAACAACCAAACTGCTGGATAGATAGACAAGAGATAAGTATGGGGAAGGTGACAGGTATTATAGACTAATAGACAATAGTTTTGCAACCATCTCTCTCTCTCTCTCTCTCTCTCTTCCCCCATATTCTGTATTATAGTTCCATGTGTCCGTGTATGTGTGTATCCATTTATGCACGTGTGTATCTATGCATTGCTGCAAGGCTCCGGCAAATAAGCAGGCGCGTTTGGTTGAGACGTTTGTCGCTCGCCCCAGGCAAGCAGCCTGCAAGCAGCCTGCAAGCTGGAAAGCCATCGTTGTTTTCAATGGGGTCGTAAGAGCGAACATTCGGCGCTGTCGCTTTTTGTATTTTCGGATCATGGAAGCCTTTGTTGACACCTGGTCTGCTCTTGGTCGCATGGTGTACATGGTGTGCCAATGCGTTCCTTGTCGTTCATCATGTGATATCATGGGTGCTTTCTGTCTTCCTGGACGGTCTTTGCCAGCTGCACTGCAAGGGGGGGAGCAGCCTGCAGACTGTTTCCTCACCGACGGCCACGGCCCCTTGGTTTGTCGAGCAAGATGTTTGTAGCCTTGAGTATCTGAGCATGCGGAAGCATGAATCTCAACAAGTGGACGCGGGCGCCGCGCTGGTTTCGTAATTGTCATTTTGGACAGAGATTGGCAGAGGCGGTGACTTCAACGACCGCACTTACAGCTGCTGACGGATGATCTCGGTGAGCAAATTGAGGTTTGAGGTCGATATCTGCTAGGTGTGCTGGCCCAGTCCGAGCCCATAGCTTCAAACAGAAGTTTGCTGTGAGGAAGGCAAACGGTTAGAAGTATGGGCCCCTTTGGCCTTTCTAGGGACCCTGTACATACAGGGTATGTAGCAGGTTTATAAGGATCCAAGGGTTAAGGGCCCATACTAGGGGCCCATGGTTTCAACCTTCGCGCTTTGGCAAAGAGATCAGCACATCTATGTGCTTCCTCCGATTTTTTGGGTTCGGGACAGCTGAAGCAGCTGTTGCGACCCACGGAAAAAACTTTCAGGAGTCGAAACTGCCGGCGACCGCCATGAGCAGAGTCGCCTGAAGCTCGGGAGCTCGGGCCAAAGAGCTTAGCGCTCCGCGAAGCACAGCGTGCGCTGTGCAGCGACCTTGGACACCCACGCTGCATTCGAGGGGCTTTTTGAGACGAAGATCCTGTTTTTGGAGAACACAGCGATCTAGGAGGTTCATTGCTGACCGAACGGGAAGCCCAATCTAAACAGCCCGCGTTTCGCTGCCAGTGGCCTTCCCTCGCCTTTCCTCGCAGAAAGTCGGTGCACGGTGAGGAAACAGGGATGCATGATGCTGTTTCGTGTTTGGCATATCGTTCTGTCCTTCATATTTCTTATGTTGCAGGAATTAAACCGCCAAGATGTGAGAGAGGGAGAGAGTACCATGTATGTGGTTGGTTCCCTGCAGTGAGCGACTAAGCGAGGCTTGGTCAACCAGCTAGCGAGAAGACGAAGCAAAGCAACGTGGAGCAACCTCGAGAAGCATGCCACATGTAGACTCAAATCCTTAGTATGCGGGATGAAGGTATGCCTCGTGTCGTGTCTAAAGTTGGATCACCTGCCGCAACAAGCTAACAGGACAAGCAAGAACACTCTGATGTGTGGCTGTCAATGCTGACGTTCGTAGACCACCTTCAGCAGTTTAAGATGCAGACCACCAGACGCAGAGGTGTTCAGCCCGCTCCTCCACTTGCAAAGCCCGCCCATCTTCTTCAAGGAAGTCTCAGAGAAATGCCATGACAGCGCCCACGCTTCGAAGGGCGCTACCCGACTACTATGCAGCACTTGAGATACATGAGGACTTCAGTGCCGACACTCCGAACCTTTGTACATTACAGTTTGGGTATAAGCCTTGGAGGATGCTGATGAGGCAACCATCAAGAAAGCATACCGTGACTTGACCCAAATTTGTGTGAACGGTCTTAGGGGCAGTAATTGGCGGCTCAGTGCCTGGGCTTCGCTCATTCGAGGCCGCCTAGTGCTTCAATGGCATCCAGATCGAAACCCTGCCGACCGTGAGACCGCAGAGGTGCGATCTTTGCCTCTGTGACAGCTTCTGCAGTTCTTGCATCATGGCCCAGTGAGGAAAAGATTCGGTTGCTGAACACGGCCTACGAGATCGTGACAAATCCAATCAAGCCATGTGCTAAGGTGAGCAAGAGCTTTGATCGCCTGTCAGTCAACTCTCGGCACCAAGGCGCGAGACCTACGACTTGCAGCGTGCAGCTTCAAGCAGGACCTGTCAGTGGGCGCTAATTTCAACATCAGATTAAAGTTCTGACACTCCGATGCTTAATGTCGCACAAATCGCAGGACTGAGGAAGTAGTAGCACAAGTAGCAATCACCGCATAAACGCAGAAGAAGCCGTGCAACAGGAAACGAAAGGCTCAAGCAAAGCCAAGATCGGCTCCAAGGGTGGAGATACCCAAAGAGTGCAGAGCCCAGCTTCCGCTGCGTCGCGCAATCACCTACACCCTGCATTGTGCGGTACATTGCCTGTTGCGCAGCACCAAATGGCACGAGTTTGATATGTGTGTGTGTCCTACCGATCTCAGATTCATGATGCAGCCTGTCGGCCATCCTGAGAGCTTCATCCGAGGCTCGCAGTCGCATTGTGTGATCCTGTGTGAGTTCCAGCCGGGGGATTTTTTCTGAGTGAGATCCGCACTTGGTCCAGGTCTGGGCCGCCGAGTTGTCGTTCACTCCAGAGGTCCTCCACTGGTCGCAGGCTCCAGTCAGCATCTTCTGGTCGGTCCCGGGAGGAGACGCACCGGATGCGGACTTCAAGACGTTCTTCACCGGAACCAAGCTCGCACTGTGGTGGCTGCCCGAGGCAGTGTCCGACTTCACGTAGCTCACGGTCACCGCTCGCAATGTGGCATGTCTAATGGTGATCATGACACGTAAATTTGCGGAGCAGCTGAAAGCCGCACGACGGCGCAGGTGAACAACATGTGTCGAATACGTGGGCTTGGGTCCAAAGCACGTGGCGACAAGAGAGGGGCTGCTGCCGGCCCCTTCCTCACGTCCTTCTCTTGTTGAAGAGGAGAAACCCCAAAGCGTTGGGCGGCTGGAGGTCGGGCTGGTGGCCTCAACATCGCGTTCGACCCGCAAAAGGCCAAAACTGCGGGTGCGGCCGGCCAGAAGCTTGGCCTTCTGCAACCTTTTTTTCATCAGAGACACTTAGAGCGATTATGGATAGAGGGGCACATGGGGCGCTCCGTTTGGCGCAAGGCAGCGAAGTTCGCACGTGTCTCAGACAGCTGAAGCGAAGAGGGCTAGCCTCTCGTGTTCCGGACGGGTTTTGGTTTTGTATATTGTAAACATGAGCGGACTTGTAGCGAGGCCTTGCGCCCGCAAACAAGGGGCAGAAGGCTGGGAAAACAGCTTCACTGGAATGACCTGGAACGCTAAGTAGCGCCTATGTCAATAGAGGGCAGAGAGCAAGCAAGCAAGCCACCGAACATGTGGGTGTGTCTATGTCTGTGAGCCACAATTGCCTGATTTGTCGTTTTTTGGCATTTATAGACGTCCTTGCTTCATTGTTGTGGTACATTGTGGTTCTTTCTGATCGCCATTGCAAGATCTGATTTAGTTTTGTTGCTTGTCCTACACTGCAGTCTGATTGTTGCTGTGTGGGCAAGCTAAGCTATCATGATTGCATGTTCGGTTGCATCATGAAGTTTCTGCGAGAGGTCGATAGCGTCAATTTTGTCACCAAGGCCGCAAACCAAGCTCAGTTGCAGTATTCTTCGGCGCTACACTACAATGTGTGGCAAACGAAGCGTTCGCATGCAGGAAGTGTATGCCGGTGACATGCCAAAAAGACGATGAGAGGAAGCTAGGGAAATGTCTGAGCTGAGGCCAGTCCAATATGCGAGGGCGCGTCGTAAACTCAGCATGACGCGAGTTCTGAGGCACTGCCTGCCTGCTAGCCAGAGCAGCCGAGACTCATACAGGGCAGTCCTGCAACCCAGGCTTCGCTTTGAAACGGCAAGCCAGCGGGGGCAAGCCTGCCAAATTTCATTCTAAGGGCTGCTTGCAACAACAGGCAAGGCCCTAGCAGAACCCAGTGATTTCCCCGGGTGACAGGCATTACCTGGCATACTTCCCCCCAACATTTCTAAGGGTCCTAGCCTGAGACTCTTCGATTCGGCACATGCTGCTGGGCTTTGGCCCTGCATCGTGTTTTAACGGCGTTGTGGTCGCGGGGATTGTGGCAAGCTCAGGTAGTTCCCTTCCTGGAAGAAGCTGAGGTGCCGACTCGACACAAGGTGACAAGTTGCAAGGCTGAAAGTGTTTTGCAGGATCGGGTGCTCGACTTCATTTTCGTCGACTTTCAATCCATGCCCACAGCTCGGTGAACAGAGACAGTGGGGATCAGTCGAAGAATGCGCTCCTGCAAGGTTCAAGTTCATCAACCTCGATGAGGTTTTAGAGCCCGTTTTTAGTTTCCTGCTCAGACCCTCAAGCATTCACTGCCAAAGCACAGCTCAAGACAATTGTGAGGAACCTTTTGGTTTGCGCACTGCAGGAGCATGAAGCGCAAGACGTGCATTGCAACTCAGGTGCGGAAGAGCCCGGTGCCTGGTCAGTATCTGAGATTACCAGGGTGCTTGAGCTAGGAACGGCGTCACAGCTGCAGCAGGCTGACACTGCTCCATTCACCTGAGGATCGACCTTTCCAAGCTGCAGGAGGACGAAGCTGTCAAGAGCCATTTCAAAGAGGCCACCGGTGAAGTGAGCCAGATCCAAGCCCGTGAGGTGACAGAGACAAGTGATTCAGCACTGCAAACGTTGTAGATAGCAGACCTACTACTGTACTACTGGCAGTGCATCCTTCTGTGCAAATCAGGTGATGGGAAAGCCTGTCTGGGATGCGGAGGATTTCCAGGACTTCAATATCAGAGTGCGCAAGTGACATGAGTGGCACAGTGAAGTCACTTCCGTCATGGCAGGCCTATTTCGAGGGTCACTGGTCCACCTTTGAGTACAAGCCCCAGGACGCCATTGCCCACCACCTGAGGAATGACGAACTCAGGGTTAGCCTGTGCGTTGCAGGAGAAGCTGGTACGACTCAGGCCTTGGAATTCAGGGGCATTCAGGGGCTAGCGGTCACCATTCACTTGAAGTCTTACACTCCCAGACATTCTTGGCCGAGCTGCGTGACCTGACCTTCAGACTTCCAACCGAGCAGGATGGCAAGCTGCAGGTATAAACTGTGTAGCATATGATAGTTGAGATTTGTATAGCGGACCATATCATAGATTATGAAAGTATGTTCTTCTGTAGCAGCCAGTTGAGTGCTGCCCGACGCCATCTCGAAGCTATGGAGCCTCCGGAGTGGCCATGATCTGCGACCTACTCTGCCCGGGAGTTCAACTGCAAATCTATGCAGCCCCGGGACTGCAGTCCAACTTGAAGCCTAAAGGAAAAGCAGTGCTTGTATCTGTGGCTTCAAGATGGCTTTGTCATGCTTTGCCGTGGTGGTGATCCCAGGCACTCCAACTGGCGGTAGCTTTGAGCAGCCAGGTGCCGGGCAGTCCCCGCCAATTTGGGGTACTGACCGGACGAAGCTGCTGCCCTGCCCAGGAGTTCCGAGACCCTCTGATGCAATGTCTTCATCAAGGATTGCTAGGCTGGGGTTAGATTGGAAGCTGACGTCATTCTTGCGCAAGGGTGCTTGCGAGGTTCGATGCCAGCGCCCGACCTCCTCATCATGCAGGTTTGCGGAGTGCATCAATATGTGCGGCCCACGTGCTCGAGTGCAGTATGGATGTTGGCAGGACGTGACGCAGCGCGCGGCTTTCTTTCAGCGGTCGGCAGCCTTTTGGACATCTTGTTCAGTGCAGCTGCCCTGGCGAAAGCGCCTGGTGTTTGAAGCATATTTAGCACAGTCTAGAGAGTCGAGTTCAAGGTGCCTGACTGCCATTCTTGGCAACCTCCTGTCTGCGTTCAGACGGCAGCCGGGACAACGAAAGAGAGCGAAAGTTCAGTAGAGATGCAGCATTGCATCAACTGGCAGCTGGTAGTTCCAAAGCTGTGATCGAAGGAAGTCTGGACAAGACGTTCCAGCATCAGTCGCCGCAGGCACGAAGCTCAGCAGCTCAGCCTGTCAATCTGTGGCAGATGTGATTTCAGCTTCCGGAGGGGGTCTCGATGAGGTTGGCTGCTGCTTTGCATTGCCGGAGCTGGAATGATGCCTTGTAGCATCCTGGCGGCTGGAAGTTTCGAGATGTTTTGGGAAGATGGAAAAAAGTGACTGGAAGCGAGGCCTCTTCTGGCTCGGCTTAGCAATTGGCCTGCCCGGGGCCTGGTCAGTTTTCCCAGGTTTGGCGATCACTCGACGTGCTGGAGCAAGAACATGTCGATATCCCTCTCAGGTGGATGTTGATCATGCGTCAACAGGTCTCTTCAGATGAAGCTTCTTCTGATGAAGGTGACGTGCCATTGAGCATCCTGCACCATGGGAGCTTTGTTGCGGTGCAGCCTGTAAGCCCTCTAAGACAAGAGCTCGGAGACTGTGCATATTGACCCCATGGTTTTGATGATCATCTTTTCTTTATGATATCTCCTTACAGCCCCCGCATGAGCCTTTGATTGTACCCACAAGACCCTCTTGTCATAATTAAGGAATTAAGGCCCTCGCTAGCCTTATGCTTATCCTGAGCCGTAGTGCACTCTGTCAGATCCGAAGCTTTCTCCGGAGACAGACCTTCGTCTGCTCAGCGACGATCAGGCAGCAGCCTGAGTGCACCTACACGCTGCATTCCTTTGCAGACATGGACAGGGTTTATTTAAAGTACAGGGCTTGTGATTTATAGGGTTTTGGGTTCCTTGCCCATGTCAAAGATGCAGTCCCTGCCATGCCGGCGCCTGCAAGCCTAGGCCTTCGGGAACGTGGCGCTGGATTCGCGCAATGGAGACTCTTCAAAGTTTGTTGCGTGGCAGAACTGAAGATCCCGGTTTTGCGGCACCTCTGTTAAACTGTTGCGAGTGAAATAGCTGCTGCCAAGGTCATCTCAATGAAAACACTGCTTTGCTTGATAGCCTGTGCCTCGGATGTTGCCTGGGCTTGATGACAATGTGGTGCCCCATGCTACACAACTTGCCATGCAAGATGTCAGCTGAGGCGCTTACGGCCGCATATGCCTTTTTAATTCCCGGCACCGTGTCTGCAGTGTACATAGTTGCCATGCTATCGGGATCCGTTGGTCATCGCTTCAAATTGCAACTGCTGCCGGAGATTTTGACCTTGCTGCGCACCATTGAAGGTATTGTCACTAAAATGTTTTCTGCGAAAGCTGTGGTTGGTGCCAGTGCCGCTTGACTTGAATTTGGGAAGTCACGCTACCCTCAACCTCAAACGGCAGTTTGCCGTGGAGCCAATTCGAATGAGGTCGTGCTTGACGTCGAGAAGTCCACCTTGGGCTTGATTGTCATGTTGTTCCAGAACGGAATGTTGCTGCCAGCTCTCATCATTCTGGGATATTCTGCAGACGCCTCAGGTCAGAGATTCAAGCCTTCGAGGTGTTCGTGGCTGTGGGAACTTGCAAGAGAGTCTTGACGCGAGTTTCCGGAAACAGTCTAAGGTTCTTATGCCATTTGCGAAGCTGGTCGTGTTCATTAGCTACGCACATCCAGCCTTGAGAATTCGGGGGCTCTCTTCGCCCGGAGCAGTCAGGCCGTTTTGACTTTGCCACATATTCTGGGGTTGATGTTTCTGTGTAATGCCAACAGTCACGACTCGAACATGTCGCATGTGTGCGACTGCCCTTCTGCAGCACTACATGTGGAGCTTGCAAGATCTCGGGTGCATTGAGTTTGCTGCAAAAATGGTTGGCAGGGCTGTTCAGAAGATCTCAAAGTGGGCGACAGTGGATGTCTTCACCGCTGGCACAATCTGTGGGTTGTTCTGCCAACCACATTTGTACTTGGAGGCAACGACGTCATGCAACAGCAGAAACTAGGATTTGGAACTGGAAGCAGTGTTTGTCGTGCCCAGATCAAGCTGCATGATGGTTTCTACTACTTCATGAGCTATTGTGTCCCGCACTCAGTTCACGGCCGCGGCATGTGCTGACAGTGAATAGTGCTGGTGTGCATGCATCGGCGATTAGCAGCCTTGATCAGCATCAACCACTAGGTGTTGAGCGTCGTCGGCGCACTGCTGATTCCCCTGCCCGCAGACCACAACGCGGACGCTCTGCTTGTCTCAGTTGAGTTACGAAAGTTGGTTTGCAAGGATCGGTTGCAATTCCTTCCCTCCCTGTTTTCTCGGCGCACCAGCATGCAGGAGTCGGAAGATGTCCATGAGGACAGCGACAGTGGTGCCACTGCTGGGCTATGTGTCAGAGCCTCGGTGTATTGACCGGTCTCATCAGATGCACATGAAGTCAGCCATGCCCTGTGAATCTCATCAAATTCATCCTAAATCTGCTTGTTTGCCTCTGGTTGCAAGGCTTTGTCATTGGTTGCGGGTGTCCTGGCAGTCGGGACAGTAGCAGGCTTGGCCTTGCTACCTCTGATGAAGGCTCGCCGATATGTTCTGTTACGGGTTCAGGAGGGTATGGGTTGGCCGGATGTTTGCGGTTCTGAAAATGTAGTGCAATTGTAGGTCACCTTTCCTATGATCGGCCTCGACGCCCGGATGTCCATCATCCTGCTGATCGCTTCACTATGGGAGACTCGCCGCGATCATTCATAAGTGCAAGGCGTGCATTTTCCGTTCCAGCTGGCGCTCAAGCCCTTCTGCGCTTGCTTTGGCCATCTCTTGTCCCGGTCTGTGATGTTTGCCGGCATTGAGCCTGTCCGGCACTCTATGCAACTTAGGACCATGGCTTCGTCGGGGCTGCTGTGTGCTTTGCAGCTTGGCCACAGATCCGGCCAGATAACCTTGACTGCGCGAGTGCTCCTCTTCCAGGGCTAGCGGCTAGTTCAATCAGATCAATAGCACCCATAGCACAAATGAACTTTTCAGTCAAACGACCGAACAAAATTTTTACGAATAGAAAAGCATGCAAGTGTGATACGCCAGGCCTTGCTGCTTCTCCTGGTGCCTGCAGTGGATGTGGCCCTCTGCTCGGTGGCATTCTTCGGCGGCTGCAACCCGGCGACTCGGCAACCGTGGAATCCAGTCCTGCTCTTGGTCTATAAGTCTTAGTCAACATAGGACCCCGCCGGATGCGACTCCATGACGCCTGCCTCTTCACGTAGCCTACTATGGTAGCATTACGAAGTTTCAGCATCTATGCTGTGCGTCGTAAGCATCCCGCTTAAGCAAGAACAGTGCCATGATGCACATAATAAGAAAGTGTCACACTGCAGAGGCTGCTAACACTTCAGAGCAGGTCAAGACGGCTCACTGTGCTTTTGCATGTTGCGACTTCGGTTGCAACTTTCTCGGACTGACAGGCATCAATTCGCTGCCATGCTGCGAAAGTCTGGGGAAGGCGTTTGTGTCTATGCTTGTGAGGCGGGTTGTGCTCCCAGCAGCATTGGAGTTTCCCAGTTGCAACTCTGACATCAGAAACTTCACGTTGTTGGCATGCGTCGGCGTCGGACTGCGCCGGATTGCACCATCGCTTCGAATGTTTCTCACTTCTTCCGCCTCTCGGGCAAACGTTGGGAGTTTGCTGCTGGCCGGGAGGTGCGGCATTATTTTGAGGATGAGCATAGTGGTGCGAAGGTGATGCAGGTCCACGTGGAGCAATTGTCATTCAGCTTTGGGTGCATGCAAGGGCTCAGACCATTTTTGCTTGGGGGGGGGGGGGGGGG